TCACTGTGGTATGATTCTTTTAGAAAGATACTCGGTAGAGGGATAGCTGGGTCAAATGGGACACTAATCCTAGTTTTTTGAGGTATCTCCATATTGATTTCCACAGTTGTACTAGTCTTCACTCCCACCAACAATGGAGAAGGGTTCCTTTCTCCCCACAGTCCCGCCAGCATTTATTATTGGTTGATTTCTTGATAGCAGCCATTCTTTCTGGGGTGAGGTGGAAAGTCTTTGTTTTCATCTGTATACCTCAAATGACCAGTGATGTTGAACACTTTTTCATATGATTATTTGCTGCTTTTACTTCTTTGTCTGATAAATGTCTGTTCATTTCAGATGCCCACTTTTTAATTGAGTCTTTATATTTGGAGGGTCTGATATTTTTGAGTTCTTTATATATTCTAGATAGTAGACCTTTGTCTGAGGAACAGCTGGTAAAAATTTTTTCCCACACTGTAGGTTGTCTCTTAGCTCTATTGGTGGTTTCTTTTGCAATGCAAAAGATAAGATGAGAGCTGGAAATGATTTTTTTTTTTAAGAGAGGGGCACATGGACAGAGACCTGGAACTTTGATTGACATCTAGTTCTATACTTCAGATAACACATTTTGTTTTCTAGACCTGAGTTCTAGGCCCCATCAAGGAATACAGAAAACTGTCATTAGTTTTGTGGGTACTGTCTTATTCCAACTCAATAGTCCCTTATCACTACTCTTTCCATATTTTTTCTTTGCTCTCAGGCATAAGCCCTATTCATTATCTCTAACAAGTACACAAAGGTCAAAAACCCTGAGTTTTGCCTAAAATGTTATGGGTTCTATGTTTTAGATGATGTCAGGCACATCTGCAATTGCTTTCTCAAGTATTAGGGGCACAAACAGATATTTGTTTCTCAATTATTCTTCTCACATACTTAAAAATTCCAGCATTAGATCCTAGAGTGTTTCAGAGTAAGAGTTCCAGAGAAAATGGAATTATTAAAAAGCAAAGCCTAAGGCATAGACCATCTTAAAAGGCTACAAAACAGTCTCAGCTTCTGCAAGTTGAAAAATAGTCTGAAACTTATTCTAATGCATTTAAGGAATGACTCTTGCATAAACCTTATGTATTCTGAAATTAAAAGTTTTATGGCATTAGATGACTTTTGTATATTAACTACTTTGAAGAGTGACTCCAGGGCAAATTTTGTGATTCTTTTCCTACATTTTACTCTCCTAGCTCCTCAGAGGAATTTCATGAGTTCAAGTCTTTTAAAAGCAACTGATGTGAAGAAGCTTCAGTCTCTCCTATTCTTTAGTAGGCAAAGAAGAAATACATAATCAGTCCCATCTCTCCTCATAGGCACATCTTATGGGAATCATAACTGGAAGTATATTTCTAGAGCCATGAATTGGAGGGAGAGGACTTGGAATGTCCAGGGCATTTCTACATAAATTTTGGGGAAAAATCATTTCATATTTAAAGCATGACTATAGCTATCTAAGGCCCAGTGTAGCTTTGTTCATGAGCAGACTATGGCACTTGGACACAACTCTGTTCTGCCTCTGATTTGAGGCTGCGGCACTCAACAGTAAGATAACATCAGCTGAATACTTCCTGGTTCTTTGAGAACCCCGCAGTAATACCTAAGAGAAAGGGTTCACCTGGGCAGGGTTCCTTATCAGCTCAATTGATCCTACCTACTGTCCCAGGAATGCTCTCCTTCCCCCTCTCATCAGCATGAGATTTGCATCAATGTAGGACCAGACATAAGATCACCACTGCTGACCCCTAAGTCACCAGATCCTCCCACTATTGCATGTGCCAAGTAAATGCCAGCTAGTATGGAGAGTCTTGGTCTTTGCTCACTGTGAGGCACTGACCTCCTGGCTGCTGTCCCCCTTACTAGGCAGTCAGAGGATATCAGCCTCTGATAGTGGAATGATGCAAATGTATATCAGCATCAGTCCTTGACGGCTGATCCATCTGTCCACAGCAGGGTGAATCTGGGTACCAGGTAGGGCTAGGAGCTGGGATGCCCCCACCATCTGTCAGGACTGAATGGAGGTTGCCATGTGCCGTTTTAATTCAGATTCAAAATCATTTGGTTTGGCAAATATTTGAGAATTGTGGAGTATCTGTTGAATTGACAATTTGGCAAAACCACTAGGCAAGATTACATTGTTAAACAATTGCTTCTCACTGATCCAGGATCAATTTATTCCCAAAAGTTGGCTCGATCTCCTGAGGCTGGAAGGAAGCACCATGGGTGGCATAGTGTACAGGTAGATTTCAACCAGAAGAGGAAGCGAAAGGTGAAATGGAAGAGATTGAGGTAGGCAAAAGGTAGAATTAGAAGAGGTTAGAAGGTGAGAGGCAGGAAAGGGAAGAAAAATGCGTTTTGAGAAGATTTGGTTTGGTGTAAGGTATAAATTGCCCCCAAACTATTTTCATAATGGTAGGTCCGTGGCAGCAAGTTAAGCAACACAAGTATCTGAGCGGAAGAAAGGAGTGACATGTCCTAATCCTAGACAGATCTAGGAGTAATGCCTTAGGTTATTGGCTTTCTGTGTGCTTTGCATCCATAATCCCCAAACAATATTTGCAAAGCAGAACAAAAATAAAGACCTAGACTTTGTGGCCAGTAATGACAGTACCTAATCAAAATCACTAGTTTTTTCCTAACTACATCCTCCCTTTTTTTAATTTTTATTTTTATTTGCTTCATCATTAGGTGTTGACAGCCATCCATTTATTTTTCTCAGGCCAAAAATTGATTTCAATTTAGAGAGAATCACAAAGGCAAACTAACCAATAACCAACTAAACACATAAAAATTGCTCAGAACTTAATATGTCAGAAAATTTCTCTATAACATTTTTTAGGCTTAAATATTTTTGTCAAGGAGTTACAAAACATTGTTACGCTATGTTCTAGATTATATATGCATGGTCCGATTTGATTTTTGTTCAGTCTTGCTAGTTAGTTACTACTTATCTCATTTCACAAATTTAAAAAATGTGCTGGTTTAATTTTATATGTACTGACTGTAGTAAATTTTGAAATGGTGAATCATACCCATATCTGTCTGATTTGAGACTTCTTTCACTAATTTTTAATATATTTTTAATATAAGGGGGTATTCTTTGAAGATTCAATTCAGGATCCTCCCAAAAAAGATGCTTCAATAAATTCTGGTAAATTTGCTCTTAAGGTGAATATATAATATGATTGACAGGGTGGGCATACTAGTTATGTGACTTGGGCATGTTTTCTTGTCCTTCCTGTGCCTGTTTCCTCATCTGTAAAATTCCATTAATAATGGTGACTTCACAACAACAAATAAGGCAATGAAACAGAATATAGAACTCAGAAACATGTCACTATGTCTGCTCACCTGATTTTATAACAAAATGATACTACAGTGTAGCCGGGAAAGGGTGGCTGCTTCAATAAATGGAACTCAGTTAACTGGGGAACCATACGGAAAAAGAGTAATCTCTACTTCACGTCATACTTCTGATTCAATTTCAAATGGATTGAAGATTAAGCATAAAATATAAAGCAATAAAATGTTTAGAATAATAGAACACATTTATTACCTTAGAATAAGCAGGGATTACTCAAATTAAGGAGCAATAATGTCATAACATGGGAAAATAGGACTATAAGAAATAAGAATAATATGAGGTTAAGATTATGAAAGGTATTAAGAAACTAAACAAGCAATCTACAGGATTATATATGATGCAAGGCCTAAATATAGAATGCCTAAAAGCCAATTTATTTTTTTTTAATTTTTTGAATTGAGTTTATTGGTACAATTTAGGTATACAGTACAGTTACATTCATTATTTGGATCTTGTACCTCTACATGACAGGTCTTCGTTCTCATTTTTTCCCCCTGTCCCTGCCCTCCCTTCACTCCCTCCCCTCCCCATTTACAAACACTTATTTTCCATTTTTTCACTTTCTCATATTTTTTTCTTTTCCCTTATTACCTTTCCCGTACCCTTCCCACTTTCCCCACAACTTTAGCTCTTTTCTTCCTATTTCACAATGTCAATTATCTCATTAGGATCTTATTTACTATTATAGATTTTCACACCAGAGCTAAAAGCCAATTTAAAAGGCAGATTGTTGTGAAGATTAAGTCAATTATGGCACAGTTTGGCATATTATACATATTCACCAGATATGCTATAATGCACAGAAATGTTCAGAACAAAGTTCTACAGCTCCTGTTTTGAATTCCTATCCTTTGCTAACTGACATGTCTCAGGTGTTTGGTTTGGAAAACATGGTAACTATAGCACTGAGGCACCAGGAAGGCAAATCTGTAGAACAGAATTCAGAACATGATTTAACAATAGAAAGAGTAATATTTATTTTTCCAGTGATTCGTTGTTTGCTATTGATTTTTACTGCTGCTTGCTGATAGGAAAGCTGCAAAAGAAGTAACGGCTTGAATGAGAAAGTAGAGTCATTCACAGGAAAATGGATGCACATTGAGGCCACACTCTTAAGTGAAATAAATAGGACACAGATGTGTAAACACCGAGTAGTTTCTCTGGTGTGAAAACCTAAAAGTGTAAATAAGATCCAAATTGTATAACTGACAATGTGAAGTAGGAAGAAAGGGGCTAAAGGTTGTAGGGGAAGTGGAAAGGGTAGAGGAAAGGAAAGAAGGGAAAAGAAAAAATATGAGAAAAGGAAAAAATGGAAACAAAGTCTTTGTAAATAGGGAAGGGAGGAGAGGGTGAAGGGAGGGCAGGGGTGTGGGGAAAAAATGAGAACCAACAGCTGTCATGTAAAGGTACAAGACCCCAATGATGATCTTCAGGTACTGTATACCTAAAATGTACCAATAAACTCAATTTAAAAAAAAAGGAATAATGGCTCAATCTAATTCATCTCAAAACGCTAAGTGAGACGGCCTCATACCTACTTCTCAGTCCTTCCTACCAAAGTCACCTACAGCTCAAGCCCCCAGAGCCTGCCATGCAGGAGGCTTTGACTCACCATTGACTCTGCTGCCTTGGCTTTTGTGCTGAGACAACACAGTCTTCCGGTCACTTCCTCTGGGGATCCCTGACCAACTTCTTTTTGATTTCCAGGGCTCCACCATTGCCGTTACTTAGAGTCTCCTCTTCCCACTTCATGTATTTTCCTTGAGAGATCACATGCATTTTCTTTCAAAAAGTTTTTACAGTTTGATTTCTATTAGAAGGAGAGGGGTACATTATTAAATGACCACGTAAGAATCATCATGCTTATTTTTCCCTCAATTTTAATTATGTTATAGATGGTGTAAAATCAGTACATATTAAATAAGAAAGTATAAAAAAAGAAAAAAACATTTTTTGCTTTTAGAAACTAGGTGCATTTTAAAATTTTGCAGATTGTTTCTACAATGATTATCATGCCTGGCAATAACATTTGTTCCTTCCATGAAATTCTGAAAATAGCTAAGAGAAATCATTGGAAAGATTTGCATAATTATTGACTTGATAGCCCTTCTATTATTCATTTTTTGTAGTTCAAGTTTTTTAAATTACCACTTCAATATTTGCGAAAACCATACCATGAATGTTTCTGTTTGAATGTTCCATTATTTGCAGTGAGGTGCATAATGCTGCGACATATTAGAAGCCCTGCTAAACTAGTTTAGGAGTGTGCTCCAACCTAAATGAATCTCTTGGGGCCACTTGCTATTCCTATCCATGGTACCTGGAGTTTTTAGCTCACTGCAGAAAGACCTATTTGTCCCCTTTCCCATACAAGGCCACCTCTCCAGATGAGCCACTTGGCTCACCTTGAAGATGCAGGTCCTGGCAGGGAGTAATAGCTCACTCATTAGCTCAGTTAGCTAATGGCCCCACTTTGGCTTTCTTACTGGTTGGCACTTAGATCTAGACCTTGGACTAGTAATTGCTCCTTGCCATTCTTTCTTTCTAATCAAGATTCTGCTTGATCTCTAATCTCCGTCCTTTATTTACACTTACACGTACATCACTGCCTGGTACCATTCAGGCTCATCCAGACTGCATATTCTTTCTGTAAGCCCATGTGTACTCATTTGCAGAGCTAGGGGAAAAGTGAAAATTTAGATCTTCCTGCTACAGGAGCCTGACCTTAGTAAATATCCCTTTCTAATAAGCAGGAAAGCCAATTCTGAATTTAGAGTCCTTTGAAGGAGAGAAAGGCCCACTCCTCTCCTTTTCTGCCATGTTCTGAACTAATCCAGAAGGGACCATACATATTCACATGCGGAGAGTCTTTGATCTCTGCTTTCTCCATGTTCCTTGCCAGTGCCTCTTGGCCCCTCAAAGCCTGAGAGGGGAAAGCTGGAGGCCCTTTGGAAAAGAAATTCCAGGGTTCCGTTTACCTACAGGAGGAAAACATGAGAGTAATTATCTGTGCCTTCTCCCTCTTTTCCTCTGACTAGCATCACGGGGGGGGGTCGAATTTATTAATATTTTCCAAAAAATCACATTGATTTCATTTATTGTATGTATGTTAATTCATTCGATTGTTTTTCATTTTCTTTTTCTTACTTTTTAGTCATTTTTGATGTTTCTCTAATCATATTAAATTTCAGCTTTTTTTTTCACCTCTATTATTCAAATTTATTACTTATAATATTCTTTTGCCTTCTAATTTCTATCTGATTTTTCAATGGCTCATGCAGTTTTTAGAGCTAAATCTGCAGCCTTTTCTTTTTTCTTTCTTTCTTTTTTTTTTTTTTTTTAAATTTT